AAAAAAAAAGTCAGTTCCTCTAAATAATATGTAGACCCGTTTTCTCACTGTAGAAATAGTCCATGAAATGACTTCACGTAAACTAACCAGGAAATGCTGTCGAGAACTCTTCCTTCCATTGGAGCAGTGAAACGCAAAACTGCAACATCGTTGTCATTTGCGTGAAACGACCCTTTAAAAGTTACTACATTTCTGAAGAGTTTCTGTCCGAGAGGAAATTGTTCTTTCAATTCCGTTCTCCTTTGAGTCGTTTCCTTTCGGGGGAAGCGAGCACACTAAACGTGAGCGGACATTAGCTCAGAGCGCAGAGCGATAGGAGGCCGCCGGGACAGAGATGGTAGGAGACTGAATGAGGTTGTGGGAATCTTTCTCCTGTGTGTGCGTTTGATGTCAGTGAGGGCGTAGTACGCCACCGGCGGGGCGAGAGCGCGCTGAACCCGAGCTAAATGTTTGGAGTACGCCTTGGTATCAAAGCTTGCCTTCCATATCACATGATCGGGGTGTTTCTCTACCACACAAACACGAGATTGACTTTAATTGGGAGGGTTGGATCTACTCACTTGAGAGGTTAGAAGTGAGACGGGGGACTGGGAACAAAACTCTAATATGGACTGTTAGGCGGAAGTCAGCGAGGGCGGCTTTCTTCTCAGAGCATGACAGCAATTAACATGGTTTGAAGGCCGTAGAAGCTTGAACCCACACAGATACTCAACGGACACACACACACACACACACACACTTTCCAATATCTCCCTGACGCACACCCAGGGAGGATCGCTGCGAGACACGAGAAAATACTCTTCTGCAAGTCATGCAAACCATCAAACTCGAGCCGTAGTCAGCGTTAAGACGCATTGCTGGTGATCTTCTATCACGAGAACTCTGCGGGACAATATACATATGCAATAATGTAACTACAAAGACTTTTTGACACCCAGTGCAAACTTGGTGGTCATGTCCACACAGCAAAACGTCACATCCATAGTACAGTTTATTGCCAATGTATTAATTCCCCCCTCGGAGGTGAGAATGTGTCAACTCGTTTTCCTGGCAAAAGTCTATTTACAATAAACATTAAGAGATTTTAAATAACAAGCACTGGGCCACGTTTCTGATGAAAGATGCCATTTGGGAAGGGAACACAGAAAAAACATGTTTTGTCAGTTTAATCAGTTATCATACTAGATAGCAGATTCAAGTACAGATGCATTTGCAGAAACTTCTAGGAGTTCCAACAGTCATCATCCGCTGGTATTTTGACATTTGTTTATTTTGGGACTAAGTGAGTTTTGAAATACTGAATTTTTGGCAAACCTGTTTGGGGATCAGGACTGAGGTACTTTTAACCCCCCTTCTCTTTCCCTAAAACACCATGAACAAGCAAATGGCACACTGATGTGAGAATTAAAAGTTATTTAATTCTCTGGACAAGCGTCATCCCCTCGAGGTGTTTTCACTTTCTGCTCTGCAGCTCTGAATTGGTGGGTGGCCTGGAGGCATAATAGTGTGAGTGTTTACGTGAGCCGGAGAGACAAATTAAGATTTACTGTGTGTTTTTGTGTGCGCATGTTGTTGTTTGCCTAGAACTTTTTTGAGCTTGGCTAATAAAAGAAATAAATAAAGAGCCGCTCTGGCAGCCGGTTTGTGGTTGGGCACGTGTTCTTGATCTGGGGGATTCTGGTCTGCGGCTTTCGCCCCGGGCTGCCAGACACACACACACACGTGTGTTTTAAGAGACTGAGCAGGAATATCTAAACCTGTAAATATTCAGCAGCTCCAGCAAAGGGCCCTGGAGGTCCTCCTCCCTGGCTGAAACTCCCCACCTGACGCAGACGTCGTCTGCCGTCGACGTGACGCTCATGACAAACGCGGCAACGCCTCCTGCAGCAGCCGGCCTCTTGTGAGCGACACGTGCGCACGCAGGAGGAGCAAAGCATTAAATGAGGGTGAAAAATATTTTAAAAAGGTGAGTCTTCAGCGAGGACGTGAGACATTCTGAGAATGTTGACGTTCCACTAAAGGACGTGTAATTCGCAGAGCGCAATGAATGTATAGTTAAAAATTGAGTTGACTGCTTAACATGTGCTCTAATACTTCTGATACAATTGTTTCTGAGGCGCTAAAGAGCGCTAAGTTGTGGCGGACTTTACGTAACTGCACCAGCATGTTCTTTCTCACAGGTTGCATGTGCCTGCATAATGACCTCGTTCACCGGTCCCCAATCGACACATGAGGCTCCAATTCAGAGCAGCACTTCAACATGCGTTCCTCCACGTTGGAACAATAAATCTGCTTAATGAATAAAGCAAAACATTTAGAAACAATTGCGTCTATTCTGATGATCATGTTCTCCCCCACTTTGCAAAAAACAAAAAAAACAAAAAAACACATCCGATCCAACAACGCAATAGCGTTCCAACTCTTTAGGAATGAGGAGTGCAATGATATTACAGCACAGCAAAGATTTGACCAACCAAACCAGTTCAGACCGCAGCCATCAAGCTGCACTTCCATTGGTCGTTATTAGCTCTTCTCGTGTTGGTGGCAGGACAATGGTTAGCGAGCTGGCGTCATGTGTGGGATCCAAAACTCCAGCAGTTTTCTCGATCGTACTCCTCAGAGCTAAGGGTCTTAATCGTGTATTTATATATTCCTCAATTATGTCTGTATAGTTTGTTTTACAGGGAAGTATTGAATAAATCATTCAAGTGTTTGTGAAGCACAAAGTTTCAGACCCGTCAGAGTGAAGCCGTTTTATGTGCTACTCAGATTTAGAGTGAAGATCTGAGGCGAACCAATGAAACTAGGGGAAGCGTCCCGACACATCTTTAAACGTGTCAATGCGATTGAGTGGGACCCCCGCCAGCGCCTCTGATGTTGCGCACGAGGCGGTGACCGGCCTCTGGGGCAGCGAGCCAGCGGCTCCAGCTACAAAGCAGCTCCAGATGAAGAAATGCAAAACATCTCAGCTGGATCCGCTTGAGAAGATTTAGAAACGCGGCGTCCAATCGCTGTGAATAAGAGAAGCCACACGGGAGCATTTGAAACACTTGGATGTGGATTCTTCTCACTGCATTCGAAAAAGCAAGATGCGGCTGCGTCACTTCACCTCGAGGGGCGCTTTAACTCAAAACGTACCGGCAAAAGGATTACGTTCACATCACGTTTTATCACGCTGTGGTTTTACCAGGGGCCGAGGGAAGCCTCATCTAATCTTCACTTTGAGGCCGACACACATCGTGTGAAATCCGTCCCCACATCAATCCCTAATCTGTCCTCGCCTCGTGACTCTTGGCACATTCCGGTGTACGATGACTTTGATAGAAGCCAAGGACTTGGATCCCACAGTCCTGTCCTCACTGCTTGGTTAGGAAGTAAACCCCCCCCCCTCCTCTCGTCGTCCTCCTCCTCTCAGGGCCAACGGGGGAGCACACAATAGACATTCCCCTTACCCATCAGGTAAAAGGCTTAGAGAGAGATGACGGTTTGGATCATCATTCGGTAACAACATTGGACAGAACCAATGAGACGGCGACCCGTCAGGCTCAGCTCAGCAGACTGTGACTGACTGATGGCGCTTACCCATCAGAGTCAGCTAGACAGACACACTGTGCCCCCCGCCCGCCATAGCCTCCCCCCGCGGTCTGACTGTAAAATTAAAGACTGGGCACACGGCTCAGATGGGCGGCACAAGCTAGAGCATCGGCAACCAAACAAAACCGTTTGAATTCCCAAGCTGCAGATGCTTACACAACCTGGCTGGTTGCGTAAGCAAAATCCATCTTTCTGACAGAATCATCTCCAAAGCTCCAACGGGGCTCCTGGATGCACTTCTGAGCTGCGCCCGCCTGGGAGTCCGCATGTGTGTGTGTGCGCGTAAGAAAGAGGACAAAGAGTTCATCTTTGAATGTGAACTGTGTGTCTGTGGCGTTTTACTGCTCCATAGAACACGATTGTTCCTCACTGGTTTATTTATGCAGCCGTCACAGGTTTCATTATACATCAATGTGTCTGCATGTGTTTCTCTAAAGAGAGATTAATGCTCTCCCTCCTCAACGAATACTCCTGAGCCACAACACAAGCAGCCTCTCAGCACCGCGCGCGCGTGTGTGTGTGTGTGTGTGTGTGTGTGTGTGTGTGTGTGTGTGTGTGTGAGGTTCAGATCAAAGGATTGTGCCCTTATGGCAATTGGACGAAGTGATCCAGACCACAGTCACAATGTCGCCCCAAAACATACTCTTCCACGCACACGCAATTCTCTCCCAAAGGTCACGTCTACTGATGATATTCACTCAGATTCGCATGAATCATTCATTCTGATCTCACATTTAATCCAGAAGGCCTCTGATTATTGAAGCCTTATTCTGTCCGTAGTATTCGGTGTTTCCAATTCCATATTGCCACAGTTAAAAAGGAATAAACAGGTTCGCGGTGAACAATATTGACCATCTTTATAGGACAGAAGTCATTTTAATACACTTGTTTGGAATGATTGGACTAATAAAAAAATTGAAGCTATAACATTCTCAAAGGGTTCGAGGGATAAACGCTGATAGTGTGAATGTTGTGAAGGCAACAATAACTTTTACCTTTCACACCCGTTTTTAATATTATGGCTTAGCAAATGTTATAATATATTTTTCAGCCAAAATAAATAATATTTCAACCAATCAAGATGTCCGTACACCTTATTATCAGTGGTCCCCTACTTCGTATATGCAGCCACATTCCCCAATTCATCTATTTTTCTGAAATCTTTGCCTCGTCCCGGGGTCAGAAAAGTTCTACAATCCCCTCTTTCCACCAATATGACAGCGCCTGCAGTGACAGAGACAAAGGTTTCTCATTTCCTGAGTCACCACTGTGCATTTAACTCGGTTTTGTTTGGAACGGACCCAACGAACGACACGGACCAAAGTGGTGCCAAAATGAATGAGCATTTCCAGTTAAGCTGCAGAGAGCAAATGTTACATTCGAACCGAACAGTGTGACCAGCTTACCTGTAAATGGGATCCTGCATCACCATCATCTTGCTCTCGTCCCACGTCCACTCCTTCTTCTGTGGAAACAAAGGCGTAGATTGACACCACAGTCAGCCAAGCTATTTGTTCATGTGAAGCTACGGTGCGGAGGGACGCTGCGGATAGACAATAAGTGCATCCTGGGGACAATAAGTCCATCCTGGGGACATTCTCCTCCATTTGTCTGTAGGTTTGTGCAAAGCTGCCTTCCTCCTTAATGTCACGATCAGAATGACAAAACATGAGCACACAGGAACTATTCATATGGATTTCTGGCTTTGTGACTCAGTCAGTCACTCAGAGACGTACCAAAGAGACAGTCACACTTGACATTTCAGCTTCCTGGACGCGCAGAGAAAAGGAACCAGGTTGAGGCAACGCACCCTTCAGTCGACCTTCCTTTCATCCACAGTCCGCCCGTTCATCTGACATCACCATCATCATACGCGGCCATTTAAATCACCCTCCCTCACAATGTCTCCATTTTCACCTGTGCCTGCCGGCTGTAAGAGAGACCCATGCTTCTTGAATTCCCCCAAATTATGACTTACACTCCCAGTTAGATTGCGACTCAAAAGCTTTTTAGGTCTTCGTGTGCAAAACAGTTGAATAACGACAGCCGCGATGCTGTTATCTTTTATTTAAATGTATCTTACTACGTACAGAACCTTTATCACAACGAAGAAAGTTCCAGCAAACAGAAACAGGAATGAATCTTTTCCAGCTGTTGGTGCTTCCCAACATCTGCCTTATATCTGCTGGATGCAAACGTCTTGCCTGGCAGCGACAAACCAAACAAAGTAGAATCCAGACTCGCTTCACAGGACCACAGCGGATGCATATTCTCTCACTCTGGATGATTTTTGCAGACCAGTGTGCAGGGTTTTGTTTGACAGAGTGGAAATCGATGGAGAAATAGTAAGAAGGCAACAAAGGCCCCCGGCGCCGGACGCAAACCCGGGACATTGTGATAAGGAGACATCACGCGTCGTAACCATTTGGCTTTGAAGGAACTTAGTAAACGTTTATTGGAACAAGAAACGTGTCTCATGATAACGTATCAGCTTGTAGAATCAAATTAAGTTTCTTGTCTTATCAATAAGAAAAGGCACAATAGCTCGTTGGTTTGAGCACATTCACATTTTCTCCTGCTTGCCAGCTTACCCGTCTAATGGATGAACATATTTTTGGTAATTTGATCCAATGTATCAAAAGACAAGTTTCTTAAATAAATAAAAATCGTACTCACTTTTTTCTTTTTCCTCAAGGCGACTCTCACGCCGTCGACCGACACCACGATGTTGACTTTCTTCTTCTTGATGTTTTTCACCTTGAACTCGTACTGCAGAGAGAGGAAAGAGAAAAGAAAGAAGTATAATATTTGGCTGGAATTACATGATTCCTGTGAGCGACAAACAAAACAATTCAGATAATCGCGGAGCAGCTTTCTTTCTGTGATTAAAAGTCAACGATGCGATGAAAGAGTACACATAATAAAACTCCGTTGAGCAAGGCACTTAACCTCGGCTAAGGGTTCGTCGTCGCCGGTGTGGAGAACGTTTTGTGAAGAAACATTTAAACACCCACGGAGTTGAATTAAACATTTTTCACACTCGCTTCACACGTCGGGCGGAGACGGATCATCTAATGGAGCCGTGAGGACTGAAACAGCAGCTCTGTCAAGGCCATGGAAGCATGTTCGCATATTAAATAAACAGCCGTGTTTTTGTAGGAATCCTGCTTATACATTCGACTTGCAAACACACACACGGCCAAGTGACTTCCCACCTCGCTTTCCCAGAATCCCCTGCATCGTGTTGGTACTACTGGTGTTCTGGATGCACATGAAACCCTGAGGTGCAGCAGGATTCGGCCGGTCGGCTCAAGTTTGATTCTTTTAAATCTGCTCAGTTCAGAGTGATGCTACAAACGGCAACAGCAGTGAGACATCACGTCGCTCCCAGGAGCCGACTTACTTTGCAACTCCCAACACACACACACACACACCTACCTACCTCTAGTTGACTGATGTCACCACAGGTTTTTCTGTTAAATTAATTAATTTCTTTCAAATTTCAAGAGTGATCTTGCTTCATCACAAGGAGCTGCCGAAATACTTTCTAGCTAATAAGGTTCTTGGCAGCACTGGTCACACAAAACCTGCAATGACACACAGCGCATTAACAAAGAAAGGCTTCGATAGTGTTTGTCACCTGGAGATGCTTCATGGGATGAGACAGATGAATAACACATGACAGAACGCAGGAGTCAAGAACTAAAGCCATTAAAACGTTACTAAATTACTAAAAATGTACGTACTGCTGAATCCAAGAGGAAAACTGTTGTAGTTCTGCCCCTACCTAATTTTGCCAGCTAATACATTACAAAAAATATATAAGTTCAAATAAGGTAAATTATACAACAGGATCAAGCCAATACAGCAGAAATAATAATAATAATTTATCGTCTTTAAATGCAATTATAGTTTGCACACTGATGCGGAGGATGATTTATTGTTCTCAACCGGACTGTAATAGTTTGTAATAAACTTTGTGGAGAAGCCACCTTTTTGAAGCGTGATTTTACCCAGTGCTCTCAACAACCTGTTGATACCCTCAGAATAAAGCACAGGAAACATTTCCATCAGGTAATAGAAACAAACCTGACGCCCCTCTGCTGTTCAAGTCCTACAGCGCTCTAATGTTCACCTGAATGGGATTCATGCGCGACCTTCCGGGGGGGGGGGGCGTTATCTGCACTAACGTGGGCTTTGCTGCACGTGGAAGATATAACCGTCGCTGTGCCTGATGGATTCTACGTCTGACCCCTTTGGAAATGATTACAGTTGCAATTTAGAAAGCACATAACTTACTATAATACGGTCCGAGTCGGATGCAGCCACATCGTTGAATCCACAGCCACCAGCAGCTCACCCCCCCCCTCCAACTCCCCCAACCCTCGCCCCGCCGCCGGCCCCCGCCCCAAGAAACAGGAGGTTTATAATAATCACCGCTGCAGATATCGGCATAAGATGAGCAAAGGAATCCATGTGATCAAAACACAACTAACTGCCGCGCAGAGGCAGTAACTTTACATAACGGGCAAATTACCCAGTCGGTCCTTTCCCAGAATGCACCACGTCTACAGCCGACGCGTTGATGAGGGGGCTTTTAATGAGCACAGATAACGGCTCACAAGTCAGTCTGGGTCATGTAGAGTAATCTCTAATGTCTCTCACAGATGAGCTTCCTGGATTTGCAATTCCGGCTGTTACATTTATCAGTCTGTTATTTTTGCCTCGTTTTTCTAAACGAGGAGACGAAAAGCAACAAGGGAAGCAACAACAACCACAACAACAATGCATGAATGCGGATCTACACAAACGAAGGGCTTTGTTTTTTACAACCCTAAGTCTTATGATGTGTGTAACTCCAACGCCGTGGTCATTTCGAGATGGTTTCAGAGCAGAAAACAGGTGAGCTACGAACAGACTCACTCACTCCACACGCATTAAGACAAAGACGCACCGCGGCAACAGTCGCTCCTGATTGAACAGATTTGGGCTCCATAAGTAGGACGGTAGTAGACGGACCACTTCAGTGTGCCTAACAGGGGCCGGATATTAGCGCGCACAGTGAAATAAATACTCAAGTCCAAGAATAAGATCATCCATCATGCAAAAGAAGTCAGTCTCCCATTTGCAGACCCCATTTTCCTGATAAACGGGTCGTTGTTTCCTAAAGGTCCTTTTCCTCCCGTTTCCAGCACAATCCATCATTTTGGCAACAAAGACGCCGCAGCGGCGACACAAAAGGGTCCTCAGCCAGCGGTGCTATTTACACTCACACAGACATCGGCCAGAGGCCGCGAGAGCACAATGACAGCCTGCGTTTCTGTGGAGGACGGCTCATTGAGAGAGGCTGAGTGGAAGGGGGGGGCGAAATAAAAGATTCAAATGAACACACACACACACACACACACGCACACACAAACACACACTGCTGAGGTCGACCAACAGCAGTCAGTGGGAGTGTTGGTGAACTCAGTGAAGGAACCGCTCTGCTTTAAGCCTGTTTGTGTGGGTCATTGGCGAGGACCTTTCAAGAGTGATTATGGTCGTATGGTCCAACCACCTTTCATAAAGTCAACAGACATCGTGCCGGTGTGCTGTCCGGCTCCGCTGAGTCAACCGGGCCTTCTCTGCCCGCACACGCAGACACACACAAGCCAATTTGTTCCAAAACAGTGGCCTTTGAAGGGGAAGATTTCTCCATAGCTTTTCACGAGCACTATAGGGATGTCAGTTTAGGTTAATTTATCTTAGGATTGCGTGATAGACGGTTACATTTTTAAATAGATGACTTGTCCTTATAGTCCTGCAATCCATCATCTCAATTTAATGTCCAATCGCCATCTAAAATGTGAAGGTTTTGCGTTGTAAACATCTTGCCTTTTGATTTGTTTAATGGAATCTATAGCAGCCAAACAAACCATAAGAATAAGAAATGGGGGGGAGAAGTTGGAATATGAGGTTTAACAGCTCAGACCATTAAGCTCATAATTAAACTGAAAGGCCCCTTAAGTGTGCAAACTGTGGCGTGTTCATTAGGTGGTTAATGAAGGCAAATGCGTGTGGTTTTAACCTTCCCGCAGAGAGGTTACGGTTTGGTACTTACACACGCGGAGAGCTGGAGTCCTCAGCGCTGCCTTTGTGCCCCACGATAGAACTTCCCCACAATCGAGGTGTTCAAGGGATCGACAGACCTGTCCGTAGACACTCCGAGGTAAGTACAAGCTCAAGCACCGACTAAGTCCCGTTGGGGCGGTGGTGCGTGGGCGGGCTGGGCTGTGGGGGGGTTCAGGTGCTGGGAGAGGCCCAATCAGCCTCAGCTGTAGTGAGTCCGGTAATCACGTCTTCCCTCTTAAACAATGAGCAGCAGCCACGGGGGGGAAGAAGAGAGCGACGGGAAAGGGTTGAACGCGGAGCGCGGCCGAGAGCGCACATCGACAAAGACTGAGTGATTAAAATAAAGTCATTTAATTTTCATATCTTTCTCCGAGAGGTCAATGATAATAAAAACATTAAATAATCTATTGGTACAAATAGATTGTAGGTTTGTATACGCTGGCGATCCTTAAGAATGTCACTGATGCTCATCATGTAGGTAAACACAGCGAGATGAATCTTAAATGGAATTAAATAAACACATTCAAAGAAAAGTCATTGCACATATTTCAAGCGGGCAATGGATAAATCAAAAAATATGCTTCCACTCGTCCAGCACAGTTAAGGAGCAGCTTGTACAAAGTAACAGAGGAAAAGAAAGCAGAATGGAATTACAGAGTTTTTCTACGCCCAGAGAACCGTCGGTGCCCAGAGACACTCTTTGTTTCAACCGCAAAGCTTTCATCACTCTCTTGACTTCTTGTTCCACTCATCACCATCCATCACGCTCTTATTATTTTACTGGCTTTCATTCTCGTGGGTCCGTGTACGGCCATTCCCAATCTCATACCACTGCCTTTTTTCCCTCTCTCTCTCTCCTCATCCTATTCTTTCATCTGTAATGCACTCACTTGCTCAACACAGCGTGTCCCTCTTTTTTGTTTTTTTTCTTCGAACATCACTTTGTGTCCCCTCTGCTGCCCCCCCCGCCGTCCCCCCGTCCCCCTACAAACGGCTGATTCAATCTCGAGCAACGTTGTTTATGAAAAGGCATTTCATTTTCCAAAACCATTTGTGTTTAGGACGCAACAGGGTCGTCACGTCTCATCAAGCTCGGCGACGCAGCACTGTCTTTGAACCAAAGCCAGAATTCCCAATTGAATACATTTTGGGGAAGAGAACACAAACAAGTACACATTGTCCCGTATATTATGGGTCTACCAGGCAAAACATTTCATCATACAACTCCTCAGGAAAACCCATTTAAAATCACGTTGCATTCTCTTTGGAGCACCAGTACCAAATAGTGAGTCCAGTTACTACGGCTCCAACGTTCTCCAACGCTGCAGAGCCAGTGGATCTTCAGTCATTTCTATGTACTTCGCTTCCAAGTATGTGTACATGTTAGAAGTGCACATAATCACCTTGACGTCACAATCACATTTCGTATTGAGGAGTCGGCCCCAGTTGGTTATTAGAGGTTGCCGACGTGTAATAATGGCATAACAGCATGTCTAAGTCTTCAGATGTGTTTTACTGACCGCATTAGCCTCAATCCAACTTCATGTCTCCAATAATCATTCATCATTATTTTAAAAGTATTTTATTTATTTATATATATATATAGCGGCTGGGATGGACTCCAGCCCCCCCGCAACCCTGTGTGCAGGATAAGC